CCCCCCCCCCAAAACCCCCGCACACACCTATTTTAACAGGAAGAATCGAGGTATTTTAATTAAAACAATGTGTCCTTGATAGAGAATAATGAAATCGTATGACACTAATCAATATTCTTTTAACTTATCAGTTCAGTTAATTGTCTTAAAACATTTCACGTCCACTTGGATTAAAAATTTGTCGTTATTATCAAAATAAATTGAACTTGGTAAATATTGACTCGAAGGTCCTATCCCGTCAAATATTTATCTGCCTCAACATTAATCTTGCCTTTGACTTGCCTATCCTGTCAAATTATTTCTGTCTTGCCTTCACTTTATTGCTAAGATTATTTATATATCAAATCAGCTGGCAATAATAGGGCTCGTAGCCCTTGCATAGTTTGGAGTTTGGAGAAAATATTTTGTTTTGTCGTTTGTTTTATTTTTGATCATGCACAGCTGAGACATTAGAAGTTTCCGAACCGGACAATTTCCCCAGTGGTGGCTTAGATTAGAAGGTTATTCTCAGGGAGAAGGGCGCCCAACGTGGTAAATATTTAACTAAGGCCTTATTACCATTGACATTATCTTACTATGCGCCTTCCAATTGAAAATATTTACTTATTAAAGTGAAAAAACTCACCCTGTATGTGCTTTAGAAAATTAATGGCATCACCATAAGACATCGGGTGGGCGGGTATCTTAGGTAGCCCACTTTCATTCCAGGGTCTCTTGTACACCCCGGGAATAGCAGGGTGTCCCGGGGTTAACGGATCTCCAACCCCATGGGCCGTATAGATCGAGCCTCGCTGAGCTCCCGTTGGAGGAAGCCATGGTGTGTTAGGGAAGGTATCGTTTGGGCCAATACCAAGTAGGGCGTAATCAGCCGGGTCTGAGTAGATAATTGCACCTATTGCTCCGTATAAAGCTGCATTATGAACCTAGGAGACGGAAAAGTAATGTTACTAAGACATACACAAGAAATAAATAAATTTATATCACAAATTTAAAGGTAGTAGTAGTACTAGTAGTAACAGTGGTGGTGGTGATGGTGATGGTGATGGTGGTGGTGACGTTGATGGTGGTGGTGACGTTGATGGTGGTGGTGACGTTGATGGTGGTGGTGATGGTGACCTCGCTGATGGTGGTGATGGTGATGGTGATGGTGATGTTGGTGGTGGTGATAATATTAACCTACCTTGTCTCCACGAAATATTTTTCCATATCTCATGATAGCTATCTTTCCCGTGACATTAACTTTGAGTTGGTTCTTTAGCGTCTCAAAGTCTTCAGTTCGACCATAATTAACATAGACAAGCTCTCCCTCCACAGTACCGCTTGGTGCATAGCCGAGAAATGGTGGAAGGACTAAGGTGTCGTTTTCGCTCTCCTCAGAAATCTGGAATAAAAAAGATACATAAAAAAATCATTAATGATGCTAATGGTTACAAACTTGGACAAATTTGTGGTTACATTTATAAATGAAAACTTTATTTATGCTTAATTCCAATCTCTATTTACACTTACAGTAATGCAATATTTAATAAATAGCTGTTAAATTAAAATGTTGTTACATTGCCTTTTCATGACAAACTTTCAAACAGAGAACACTTTAGAATTACAACTTATAAGTACAAAATTAAGTAAGTTTTCGAAATGCGGTTTTGTAACGACTAATTTGGTCCAACATCGTAGAAGGAGATTATATGGGAGTACTGAGCTCTTTCTTATATTTTTTTCTATTTATTTTTTATTTTTTTCTATTTTATTTTTTTCTTATATTATATTTATGATTTATTTTACAAGCAATCTAAAATGTTTTGATATAAACGGTGGCGGAAAAGCATTAAAAAATTGATAAACAAAAAGATGGAAATGTGCTAACTATTCACACGCGTAAAATCGTAAAATTTGACGTCGCGAGAAAATAAGGTTTTGGTGGACGTCAATCAAAGTGATTCCAAGGAGATTAGGAGACAAAAAGTTTTCAAGGGCATGTGCCTACAAAATATTAAGGAAACCCCTTGATTGACGTCCAACAAAACCAACTTCGTCGCGACAGCGCTCAAGATGAACGATTTCGCGAGTGAGATTGGGAAGCGTTTTAAAATCCCTTAACATTACAGCTTATTTACAGCATGGTTTACTAAATACTGTTAGAAAACTCATGAATAATTCATGAGGAAAACACAATAGAAATCATGACCATGAAGGAGGTTTTATAACTTATATAGATTCGTCTTCATTTGCATAAACTTGAACTTGGATTTTCTCTATCAAACTTGGTTCATTTCGTAAAGAAATCGGTACACTATGAGAACATACATCATGAGTTTTCTAAGCCGTTCAATAAACTCTCAGATCGTGTTTTATCGGGTCTAAAACAACTCGGCTACGCCTCGTGTTTTATACCCGATAAAACACTCCTGCTCGTTTATTAAACATTACGTAAGATAAGTAATGTTTAATAAACGAGCAGGAGTGTTTTTCGGGTATAAAACACGAGGCGCAGCCGAGTGGTTTTAGACCCGATAAACCACGATCTGCGAGATTATTGAACGGCTTAGAAAACTTATGATGTTTGTTCTCATTGTGTACCGATTTTTTTACGAAATGAACCAAGTTTGATAGAGAAAATCCAAGTTCAAGTTTATGCAAATGAAGACGAATCTTTATCAGATATAAAATCACCTTCATGGTCATGATTTCTATTGTGTTTTCTTCATGAATTATTAATGAGTTTTCTAAGCCGTTCAATAAWCTCKCAGATCGTGKTTTATCGGGTCTAAAACCACTCGGCTGCGCCTCGTGTTTCATACCCGATAAAACACTCCTGCTCGTTTATTAAACAGTACTTAACGTTGGCATTTCCTTTATTTATGGAAGTGTGGCTGATCTTCCAAGATCACAGCATCGTATACTACCAATATCAAAATCCCTTACATACCATTTCTTTTACTTACTTACAAAGGCAGAAATCACTGAGCTCTACCCATGCAAACGAAACTTGTGTCGCGAACAAGTTCACAGAACGAAAGCGCGCCATGTAACATCCCCGTGAAACTTGTCTCGCAAACGCTGAACGTTGCAAACACGTTTTTGCTAAAAGTTTCAACATGTAATAATGCCTTTAGACCAATATTTAAATTTCTCACACAGTAAAATAAAAAGAAAAACAGAGCATTATAGTAGTGGTTATTAATAGGACGCCACATTGCCGACATACTCAAACCCGGCAAACATCATTATACGCTTCAGTGGTGGATCCAGGGGAGGGGTGCAGGGGGTGCGCACCCCTCCCTGGTTCGACTTTGTGCCCCTACTTTGAAGATAATCAATACAAAATGTTTTTTTCCTTTTGATTCTAAGGGGTGCACCCCTCCCTGGGTTAATTTTGTGCGCAGCACCCCTCCCTGAACAAAATCCTGGATCCGCCCCTGCACTTATTGGATTCAACCGAGCCCATTATGGCAGAATATCAAAGTCGATGAGCAACGATGAATCCTAAAAATGTTTTATTTCATCGAACACATATTTTTTCCTCAATAGAGGCTTTGACCATCACGTGATGGCAGCCATGACAGGAGGCACAACAAGAGTCGTTCTCCCCTGGAAACTGAATTCTTTCTCATGTAAATCACATTAGACCAGATTCAATTGTTCCTGGATCCTGTCATGGCTGCCATCACGTGGTGATGCAAAGCCTCCATAGATTGCTGCCCATTGCAATATTGCAAAATAATGAATTGCCACGTGACTAAAATACGGAGATGTGATTAGAGGATTATTTGTGAAGTATAATGCTATGGAGAAGTCCAAACAAGTGTGTGAGAATGTTAGAGAACGAAATGAAAATCTGACTTCGCCACACATCCACCTCTAAGAGAATACCTACTTTAATTATCAGTAATGGTAAAAGGGTAAATTTTACACCGTGAAAAGATGAAAAAACTTACTGACGTCTCGGACGCTAGCCCTTCGTCGGAATAAAAGAGGACTTTAATTATCACAGGAGAGAATATAATCTGAAATCAATTGTTTCACCTTTTCTTTGATTGATGTTTGGAACACCACGCTTCCATTTCTCTGCTTGAGTGTCACAAGGTTCGGCTTGTCTTTCTGGGGAAATGAAAGCAGCACTTTGTATTCGGGCATTTCAACTTTATCAAACCCATAGCTGCGCCATCTTTTGGCCAGTTCATCGGCCAGTTCTTTTTGTCTTGCACTCCCTGCAATATGTGGCCTCTTGGTCAAATACCTTAAGAAAACAGGATCAAGGGGGTGTCAACTTCAAATTCTACTTTTCGCAACTATTGCTGCAAATTGTCTCGCAACATTTTTTTAAACAAATTTGAATATACTCATTTCGTCGTCTTTGAAATAATTAGGAGGTAAAGAAAATTTTGATTTACCAAGCAAACAAAGCAAATAGCTCATGCATAAGTTGAATGGTTTACATTTACTTTTCAAAATTGGAGGGTTTGGAGAAAAGGGCCACAAATCTACCTACTATATCAGTACTACTGTCTAGATATCAGTTTCTTTCACATGAAGAGCCTAATGGCAATTGTTTTCAGCATTAGATAAAGTATTTAGCAACAAGCACGGTCTAAGCATCCTATGGTGTGACACAGTTAGAGCCAAATATCATTAATGGCGCCAATTTAATGCTTTATCGCTAGAATAATTATAATAATTACTAGAAGCAGCATAAAGTTTTACTATTAGACTTTTATCCAGCAACCAACTCGCCAAAAAGATGGAAAAAAACACGCATGGTGCACATTTTAAAGCTTAAGCCAAGAACTACTTAATTACGATATTGTTTTACATGGAAATGATTTCTGAGTCCTTTTCGTGAGAGATGAACAATTGAAATTGCACGTTTGACATGGCAAGGTCTTCCTTTACCTTAGATTTTCCCTCAACTCGTCAGAACTTATAACATCTCGTAGCTGTTTCTGGTTCTCTTCTCTTGCAGCTCTCGTCGATTTTTGTAAACCATTTACTTTTTTCTCAGGTTCTTGACTCTTACGAATGAAATACCCAAGAACGATACCAGCAACTAGTATTATTAAGATCAAAGCAATCACCGCTAGGCATTTACATCGACGGTTTCTTTTGTTTTTCCTGTAGGCAAATTCCAGTTCGTCGTCAAACTTCATAATGTTGGTGAGACAAATACGCTGCACCAGATTGTAAGCGCGTTTGCTAAAGCTTGAAAGCACAGCGACAACAACAACAATCGACTGTTCACGAGTCAGTGACTCTATTCCACGATTTGCATGAATATTCACTTATCCAAAGAAAGAGCAGAACAAAGGAATGGTTGTGGTTTATGACTTCGGATATTCTGTAAATTAGATATTTCTTACTTTGTTTTTGTTTTTTTTCGGGGTGCTCCGGTTTTCCTCGATTCGTAAAAATGAGTGACCTAATCACGCTAGCCGTTCTCAGACAGCGAGAGCAAGAGTTTTGAACCACTAATAAAGATATTCTCCTTTAATTCAGTTGTCTTTTCTTCCCGATCCCGCATTCATTGTTCTACCTACCTAGTTAATGTTGCTACGTCGGAGAAGCTAAATTGTGTTTTTGAAATACAGTAATGATGAAAAGGTAAATTATACACCGTGAAAAGATGAAAAAACTTACTTTTTTATCTTTTCACGGTGTCAAATTTATCCTTTTATCATTACTGTTTCATTAGAAACACCGACGCAGCTCACACTAGTTTTTAGCTAGTTATATCTTTTTGAAATACAGCATGGAGCAGACACTTATTGCTGAGAATAGCAAATGTGTTCCTTAGAACCAACGCATTCTAAAGGTAAACTTAGAAAAAAATCAATAACTACCAAAAAATCTAAATCTCACACTAGTTTTTAGCTAGATATCTCTTCTTATTACCAAGAAATCTTATGAATCCTACTTTTGCACGTTACGTCATCGTCGCCATGTTGGTTCCATTTAACAAAAGATTTCTCATTAGCATCCATTGTTAACGGTACCACAATGGCCGCCATGTTTTTGTCTTTTAACTCTCTTGGGAATGCTTGCAACCCAATTCAAGTTTACTGGTCGAACATTCTGTATTCCATTGAGAAAACTACCCATCTATTTGGTGGCCACTGACCACTCAAGCATAGCCTGGATCGGCCTATAGTCCGCATTGCATTGTCTGCCGAGCCACTTGAACTTTGGCTTTAATTAGTTGATTATTTGGAACATTCATATACTAGACTGCGAGTAGTCCCACTATTCCCTCAGAGGGGTGTATTACCTCAGAGTATTTCTTATGTGCTCGGGGTCGATCACTTTTCTGTAATATCGATGTTGAGAGACAATTTTTGTTTCCTGTGATTTCCATTCAAATGTGCACAGAAAATATCCAAGAAAAATTCCACCAATCAGGCTAAGAACAAAGACAGTTAAGCTGAGCAGCAGATAGAGGTAGGGTTTTTTCATCATGAGCTGCGAGTTCTTCTTGCATTCTCCACTACAGGTTTAGAGTTTTCATTCCATTTTGGTGAATGTAGCTGCAAGAAGTAACACAAACACTTATTTGTTTACAATGGCATAAATCTATAAGAAGAAAAAAAATAGGACAGGACAGCGAGCAAGCGAGCAAGTGAGTCTGCAAAACTGAACTTTTAGGATTTGAAATCGCAAAAATGTCTCAGTCCGAAATAGAACCATATTACACCAGCCTTTTTATCTCATATTGGCTTTTGGACTGATTAATCAAGCTTAAAATGTCGAACCAATTGATGGCTTTCAACCATTCCCAAGAGAATGAAATGACAAAAGGCACGGCGGCCATGTTGGAGGATATAACAAAAGAATTCATTGATAATTCTTTTGTTAAGTTCCTCCAACATGACCGCCGTGAAAACCATCAATTGCAGAAGAGAAATCGTAACTTTGTGATTTCGAATTTTAACTCGAGCTGTTGTGATTGTCAAACGTTGTCAGAATGTCATAAATGCAGTTGGAGGTTTTTCCATGAACCTAACAATGAATAATTTTTAGAACTTTCAATTTACATATTTAGGATGATCTWTTTTTTSCTTATTATATAGTCTCATATACACCCGGTTGCGGGAGGGTCGTCGCGTGGGGGAGGGTAGGGGGTGGATGGGGGGTTGGAGGGGGCATTGATGGTTTGGCGGGGAGGGGATTTGATATGTATATATATTTTACTATTATTTATTATTATTATTCTATTTTGTATATATTTTATCGAGGGCCACTTGAAAATTATCATTTATGGTAACGCTGTTACCCTGTCTAATAAAGTTGTTATTATTATTATTATTATTATTATTATTATTATTATTATTAATATCACCTCAGTCAGTTTTGTTTAGCACGGTTTTCGTGCAACAAAACGCTCGATCAGCAAGTTTCAGGGTCAAGTTATTTTTAATACATTTGAAAGTAATCTGGGGAACAAATATCTGGGGTGCTCTGAGACCTGTCATACACACAGTAAGGCTTATCAATATACAAAGCGGCTTGGGTGCGATCAATATAAACAAACAGAAAATAGGTAATTTAGTTTTCTCACTAACCTGCTAATGGATAGAAGTTTTTCCTGTTCTCATCGACTTTAATCAATCGTCAATATCATATGTTCATCTTGACATAAAAAGTATATACACCAAAACAACCTGCGAAAAAAGTTATGAGAGTAAACTTATTTGTAGTGAGAATGTTATCGGGTATAATTACTACAGAAAAAAAAAGTTTATCTTAAAGGTGTTTTCTGTCAAACATGAAAGAAACTGAAGCGTGTCTTGATATTCTGACCGATTAAAACACCTGTTAAACCTGTCATGATTTTGTTTTACGAAAAAAACGTATTTCACTTGCCAGTATCTGGTACCCGTTTTCTAGAGAATAATATAATGCACTGACACTTACAAACGTCAACGAAATTCCAATGGCTTGAGTACAAAGACCAATGTTTAGACTTTGGTTGGTAGCAGGGCAGCAGTGTGCACGTAAGGCAAATGATTTGACTAATCACGTGACTGAAATGGCGGGGAAAACTTATGGGGGACAATTAGTCGTTTACAGAGCGAAGATGTTCAAAATCTAAACTTTTAGGATATGCTTACATATATATACTAACCTGGCGCTAGATTCCTTAACTGACTGTGACGGTTAACGGTTATTACATCAATAACCAATAAAGTTTCTCTGTAGTCTATTGGTTTGAGCTCAGTTCCTGGGGCAAAACTGCTATCTCTGTAGAAACTTGTGAAACCAAATTCCGCCATGGAAAAGTATGGCTTGCCTTCTGCTGAAGTTTTGCAATGCATGTGGGAAAAGTAGAAGTTATCCGGCTTCCTCTCTTCTGTTTTCAGTAGGAAAAAAAATCCACTCGGAAAATAGAGGTGAACTTCTTTTTCAACGAAAAATCTTCTTCAAACAAAACCCATAGGAATACATACTGCCATCTGCTCGTGTAGTTTGTAATGCATAATAAGGGTAAAATTATAGAATTCATTTTGCGTTCTTCCCCTAAAACATGAAATATTCCCCTTAGAAGATCATGTCAACGTTTCCTAGACGAAAACCAATATCATTTTAGAAACTAGTAGAAACTTGCTTCTTCGAGAGCCTATTTATCTTGAGAACTCTGTGAGGCGTAAGATCATGATGTTTATTTATTTTTAGTTATCTTTTGTCACTTTCAACAACATTWAAAAAATGACCGATAACTTGCGGATTTTTAAAAGAATATAAACTCTCTTGTTTTAAACTTTCCAACATCTTGTATAAACATATAATGTGAAGAATTTTAACCATCTTGATAAACAACGTCTGGAGTTATCTTAATTCGGCCACGAATAATGATCACGTGATGATAAAATAAACTTTGAATGATTACTAGATTGATTTCATTTTTATCTTCATTTCATATATCAAAAACATTTGCGCATATTTCGTATGACTTCATTGGCTTCTCTCAAATACACACCAGCCAAGCCATTTAAGAGAAGGATTAACGCAGCAGCCTTGACTCTTGAATGGCTTTCCTCTATAATGCACTAACCATTCACAGTGCTCTAACACGGAAGCCATTTAAGAGTCGCATTACCGTAGCAACCTTGAATTTAAAAAGGATTTCCTCTAATGCACCAGCAAATCACAGTGTTCTAACATGGAAGCCATTTAAATCGCTCAATGCTCTAACACGAAAGCCATTTGAGAGTCGCATTGATGTTTTTTGTTGTCATTGTTTTTGAGTACAAGAAGTACCGTGCTCATGTTCCCTTAAACAGCAGTAACTACAACTACATCACCGTTCTCGTTGAGTTTTGCTGTAACATCATCTTCATCCTCTGTTGGTAGAGTCTGTGTTAACATCCTAGGCCCTGCGAGAGATATACCTATCGCACCGATGGGTGAAGTCACCAGAATAGAGAGGACGGCGACTGTAAGAATCTGGAAAGGTTTGAACATTATTTAAAACATAAAGACTAAAAAGCAAAAATATAAAGACTTATTTGACCTTTTTCGCATTTCCCATAATGGTCATAAATTGAACTGCCAGAAAATTTAACGTTTTTCAATCACTAAATCAGATTTTTCTTGTAATATATGTTTTTTTTTGTTTGTTTTTTTGTTTTCGTTTTTTTTTTTTTTTTTTTTTTTTTTTTTTTTTTTTTTTTTTTTTTTTTTTTTTTTTTTTTTTTTTTTTTTTTTTTTTTTTTTTTTTTTTGTTGTTGTTGCTTTTTTTTTGTTTTTTACATTAAAATACTGATTATCAGTTTATCCATACTTTGTTAATTTTCCGCCATGTTTAGAACATTAAAACGTTATTAGATGTTCTTTGTTACTTTTTTTTTTCTTTCTGGTTGTTTTTTAAACAAGATGCATTTGCAACTTCTTTTAATCACGCTTTAACATAATATGTTACAAAACCCAAGACCCGAGCAATCCAACTTTTTAGTCTAGTTTATTTGTCACAATATAAAAATATACATTTTATAAAACTTGAGACATGCAAATTTTGTGACTGGCGAAGAAAACAGAACTTTCGTCCCATTTGATATTCCCTCTTCATACAATTTACATACAGTACAAACATGATTAACATTAAAATTGACGAGGCAGTGGCGGATCTAGGGGTGGGTTTTGGGGGTTGCAACCCCCTCCTATGAGAGCCATCGTGATTTTTCTTTATTATTATCATTTTTCATGACAACACCAACAGCATCGCGAGTTTTATTAAAACAGGGGTGCCGAACACATTTCGCTCGCTTTTTTTTCTATACGCCGTGTGTGGGACCTGAAACAACCATGATCGCCTGCAGCAAATAATCATTGTCATAAGATCTACTTCCGTTTGCGAACCCTGTGCTACTTTCCTGCCAAACAAGTACCTCAACCTATGCTACAACCCCCCCTTTGAAAAAATCCTGGATCCGCCCCTGCGAGGAAAAAACGATAATGAAAAGAAAATAGGATCATATAGGTTGATGGATCAAAATTTATCAAAATTCACATTTAAAAGATTTTAAGGTGGTACGTAATTATTAATTATTATTTATACATACCTGTATTCCATAGGTTTCTTGGTATGTTCCAGTGAGTCCAGCCTGTCGAGCCATGTCAAGAGAAACTGAACCAATAGCAGCCTGCAAACAAATATTCTCACATTGCAATTTTTATATTTCAAGAGAATGAAATAAATGACTTGAAATTACATTAAATTGGCTAGCTACTTTTTGGCTTCGCTAAACTTCATGATCATTTCCTGATTTCCCAGCTATCTTGTGATGACACAAATTTTCAATAATAGAATTCTTTTTGGCGGACAGCACATGGCGATCAGTGTTTCACCATATCTTTTGAAAAAAATAACGAGACTCTAAGTCTTTAATCACTTGATCGAAACCCAGAAGTTCCGGCAGTCGTAACTAAACTACGCTATCATAAAAATGTCATGCTATCATAAATGTATAAGCTTTGCGCGCCGCCTATTATGGTATCATCAGGGACTAGTATRAAAGGTTCTACTAAAAACTTCGATAAACATTGTCTATGATTAAATTAAATGTACAAAAACCTGCACAGTTGCCTTTGGAAGCCAAGCAATTGATATAAATATCTTCTCCTTTTTAGTTAAGTTGTTTCTCGCCAGAACAACGAAGGTTACGAGAAGTCGAAGAAGTAATGCTACTGCTAGAATGCCAAGCCCAGTACCTGGGTAGAACAGAGAGTTTCTTGAATTAGCTTAAAGCATGCGCACAAGATAGATTAATGTCTTATTCTGAATTACCTACGAGACTCGTTTCCATGTACTTCACACTGACTTCCGCACCAACCAATCCAAAAAGCAATGGTTCGAAAAATTTCCATACGAAAGCTGTAGCCTCTGCAATTGGGATCTGTAAAGGTTTAGTGTAATGAGGAATAAAATTGTCCCGAATATTTGGTCATTCAATAAAAAAAGCTCATTAAAAAGCTCATCATTTCAAAATATTTCTTAGATCAGAAAATGAAAGTGAATGTGAAAAAAAAAAAAATGATGCTCACATATGTCAACCTAGAGTTCCTTGTGGGCTATATATTCCACTGAGGATAATTTCCCGAACGTTCTAATAATCCTGAAGTACTCTATAACTGCACACTGCACAGCAAGCACGTTTTTATTTTATAAAACAAAAATTAGAATACCGAGCCGCTATTTTGGGTAGGAATGATGAAATAGAAAGTGCGCGCGTATGTGTGTTAAGTGCTCTCATAGTGCTGAATGCGACATCAATCAATCAGAAAGTGCGATTTACATCAGTTGTTTTGAAAAAGAATTAACAGAGAATTGCAAGTAGAGAAAATGTGATTCATTACTTTTGCTTCCTTTCCCCAACCATGAGCAGCAACAGTCGCCATGGTGAGAACTCCTAGAGCCCCAGCACCAGCGAAACGAGCTGCATTACTACCAAACACTGACAGTAGAGCACTACCAAGAAGAATCACGAATCTGGTCTTGTGAACGTTCTCCTGAAAGTCAAATATTTATCAATAGTGCCCTTAGTTAGTCATGCCTTTGCATCAAAGCAAGACGGACGTGAGCTCCCAATAATAGAGGCCTTTTTTTGCAAGCTCACCGTTTGTCTCGCTTTGAGGCTACCTTTCAAGATGGCGCAAGGAACTGTGAAAGGGGAATAATTGCAAATGAATTTGCAAATTGCCTTCAAACTGTCTACAATTCCCCAAAGAGTGTGAAAAACAAAGACTACAGATGGTAAAGTTGTATACAGCTTTTTTGGGAAAGGCATAAGAGAAGAAAGGGCATAGGAGGGAACTTGGTGTACTACAATTTTACTGTCTGTATCTCTAGTAAAACAGATAGATGTTCTGTACTGTATGTGTTGGAGACAATGGGCTTAGGTACTAAAGTCATCAACTTCTTGGCAGCATTTTTTTCAAATTCTTTGTAGCTAGGCATTAGAAATAGCACACCACAGGTAGCCCACGAAAGAAACAGACAAAAAAAAATTTTTTTTGAGGGTAGCACTTAATAGCCAGTGGCTAACAATCCTGTGGCCCTCGTTCCATGATTGAATAGGAATTTAGGGGTTGGAAACTTGGAAAGACTAGAAGCAAAGAGAGAGCTAGAGTTGTGTGTGAAGGAGGCTATGCAATGGCTAGCCTATTATGACTGAATATCAACAATACAGACCTGATCTTTACTTGGAAAATACCAACAAATCACTCCAACAATTACTCCAAATACGATCCCCATGCTCAGTTCAATTGGACCACGGAATATATTGAAGACTAAGTTACCTGGAAGGATAAATGATTTATATGAATTTCTATTCAACTAATTTTGCAGAGTAAAAAAGAAAAAAAAAATACCACAGGAAGCCCAGTTTGATAAGAGAAAACTAAACATTTAAGATGAAACTAGAAAAAAAAACCTTTATTTAAAGTGACATTTGGGGTTGCAGTGTTGCAGCGTTTTTTTTTGGGGGGGGGGGGGGGGCTGAGGTGCGATATTTTTTTCTGGATTTTTTTGTGGCATTGTAGTTATCTCAACCTTGCAACATACTTTATTAACCTTATAGCGTGTGGTGCCAGGTAAAAAATATCTGATTGATTGCACTGTTGTGGTGTCCTGTTCAAGATAAATGTCAATTAAGTATTTGGACTTTTTAACTTTTACAGAGTCAATGTTTTGTTGATTTTTCTTGCAGAGATTTTCGGATTTATTATTTTTATTTATTTATTTTTTCAGTGTTGCAGTAATTGAAATCACCCAATGTCCTCCTCATCGAGGTATGGCCTTCCAGTTGCTCATCATGCCAAAATACTGCTACGAAATGCTGGCAAGTTCAAAAAACACATTTTTCCAATGCATGAGACTTTAAATCTTTGCTACTCAAAACCCTGTGTTCAGTGTTATCGAAATTGGGCTCCCTGTGGTAACAGTCATCAATCATTTATACTCTGACTAACCTGAGTGATAGCTCAATCCCAGACACACTCCAAATCCACTGATAGACAAGACATTATCAAATGATGCAGCAGCCATTACGAGAGTGGGTATACCCTTCTCTACTCCATAATATTCTGCTTGTAGCTCCAGTAGAGATGGGATCACAACTGCTAAGGAGACAGCAGCTTGAACAAACCTGACATTTTTTGGCGACATACAAATAATTGAGGATTAGCTTAGACTTTGACTGATAAAATGAGTAAAATGATTTCCTATACCAACAAAAAGTGCCCATGACCCTTTATAGACTACGTGAAGCACAGGTAGCCCATTTCAAGTTTCAGTCCACGTCCTCTCAATGCTCAGTTTCAAAATTCTCTTTTTCAATGACGTAACATGCAATTGAAGAATAGGCCCTTTGCAGCTCATAACAGTAATCATATGCTGATTAATTCACTGAGAGCAAATGAATAAACATCTTGGTTCCCATGGTTGAAATATACTGGTGAGCAAACAATTTATTTTACAACAAGTTTTGAGAGATTGTAATAAAACTGCATTTCGTAACACACTGGATACACATCGTTTCATTCAGTTCTTTACAAGAAAGAATCACCAATTTAAACTAAAATAAAAAAAATTACTCACCAGTACTGACATGTGACCATTAACTGCAATGGGCCTATTGGAGAGTCTTGAGAGTTGAATTGGAGAAAGAATAGACCCGTTTCGAATTCCAAATAACCGCTGTGTTCCTTGATTACAGACTCATTTGCACAGGGTTAGCCTCGTATCAGTGTTTAAATATTCACAAAATACCAATAGAAAAGTAAAGAATGCACAACTTCAACAATACAAACATTTTGAAATGTGACGGACCTTAACTGGAACATGTGAATATTCTTCACAAACTCAAGGCTAACCCTGTGCAAATGAGTCTGTAATCAAGAAACACAGCAGTAATTTGGAATTAGAAAGGGGTCTGTTGTTTGCTTATGACTTACCCCAACTGGAATGCCCACTGCCATCTCATATCCAATAAATAATAGGCCATTACACTAGCAATAACTGCCTCAGTAGCACACGGCAAAAATGCTAATCTCATGACAGTGAACTTAAGTCTTCTTAAAGCATCAGTGTTTAACCCAAGTCCTGATCTCATCAGGATGATAACTAGAGCTATACTTCTCAAACTTGAAGACCATTTCTTCTCAATATGTGAAGCAAAGTCTATATGAGGAACGTTTCTGAGCATGAATCCTGCTATAAGCATGCCTAATAGTGGTGGTAGGGAGAGATGAGGAATGCACTTAACCAGTAAACCACCAACTGATGAAAATACCATGACTGTTAAAATACCAAAAATATTGCCTCCTGGTTGAGCATCTTGACCAATCACAGTCCACAGAACAGACCAGGAAAGAATTAATAATATCAATGCAGTCAGTAAACGAGCGAGGTGTTTAGTGGGAGGTACGGTGCAACCACGATTTTGTGAACACGTTTTGGATTCTCCTTCAGAATCAAGGCTGATTAATTCAGGCATGGTAGGACACTGTATCGCTGCTATGACACAATGCACTTCACTTAGACTTGACAAATATACGTTGTCGTAAATATCAGAGCTGTTCGTTTTATGTGTCAATCAAACTATTACTTTCTCTTGCACTTTGCACGCATATTCAGATCCTTGAGCGAAATATCCTATTTAGACAACCAATATGATACGCTTGCATAATTCTTTCCACTGTCCTATTCGCGAAAGCTTGTCTTGTCACAAATCTTCGACACGTCCGCCATTTTGTTTTTCTTAGGAAGATACCGCTGATTTGTTCCGGGAGCGTCCGCAGGCTTATGCATTTTTTAGTGTTACCGCTGTACAAATATTTTGTTGGCTCAACTCTACGTAAGAACACCGCTGACCCAAAGTGTAAAATTCAAAATGGCGGACGAAGAAGTAAAATTATTCGATAATCAAGGCAATGAAATAACGGCTTCTAGCAGGGCTCCTGTGTGTTTTTTCTGTCAAAAGAATAGCTCTAAGTATACTTGTCCGCGCTGTAATGCTGGATACTGCTCTGTTTCTTGTTACAATAGTGAGAAACACGTCCAATGTTCGGAAGGATTTTATAAGAAAAACGTGTTAGAAGAGCTGTCACAGCGAACCAAAGACCCTGAAGATGTCCAAAAAGTGCTTAGCATGCTGAAGAATCTGGAGAAAGAGAATGAAGAAGGCGAGGACGAGGAGTCTGAGGAGTCTTCTCTTGAAGAGCGTCTTGGTGGCATTGATCTAGACAAGGCTGACCCCAGCTTGATATGGGAGAGTTTGACTGAAGACGAAAAGAGAGAATTCGAATCATCGATAAAGTCAGGTCATTTATCGCAGGTGGTAGAAGAATGGATTCCTTGGTGGGAACCAGCAAATGAACAGAGGTACACTCATTGAAATGAAGGGCTTGTTCTGTCCATCCATGWTTATTGGCAGATCGAGGTTTTTAAGGGGGGAAGAGGGGGTTCCAAATTGTCCATTTTGTATAAAAAGCTGGTACGATCATCTTCAAAATGGGAGGTTGCAACATGATCAGCTTCGCAGAGGAGGGGTTCCATGGAACAAATAGGGCAGGAGGGGGGAAGTTAAGGGATGTCTTGTGGAAGGAGACTGGAAATACTGCAAGAAAAGGGTTGACAACTCAAAGGGAACACTATGTAGGGTCAGTGTGCTATGTGATAGTAGATACTTTAGAAGACTTGGTCATACACTAGATTGCACTTGCTAAACTACTAAGAAATGGTGGGCAACTTACTGGTGGTGAGTGCAGAGCGCAGGTGGGCCTCAGGAGGAAGCAAAGGTCTTTGTGTGCTACGTATGTCGGTATTTATTCCTTTGTACAAAGTATTTACCGAAAAAGATTTTTATTCTATAATATAAAATAACTCTGAACTTTTTTTTCGAACTTAGGAAACTAAAGATCCAAGTGTTACAGTCAGAAGAAAGGAAAAATGAAGAAACTGAAAAACCAAATAATGACATCAGAAATAATAACCAGCAACCTCAAAAGTCTAAGAATTACCCTACAGTTTTACACAATTTGCAACAGCTATCATCACCAGCAAGTCCCTTGATTAAATACAGCATTATAGATACCTTGTATGCGTATGCATATACAATGAGATTATACAATGGTTCCCCTATGGAAAACCCAGAACAATCTTCACAAACTCTGTACAAATTATCATCATCACTTTCCAAGAATTTTACTTTTGAGAGCCTCGAGTCAGCTGTTTATAATTCTCTAAATGTTGTGCTTGAATCAAAAGATCTTTTCAATTCACAGAAGTTTTCCTATGATATTATACTAGATATTGTTGACCTAATTCAAGGAAGTTTTAAACGTGGTAAAAAGGTGGTTAATTTTGTTGACTGTGCTTTGTCAGATGCCCATAGAATAATAGAAAAGGGCAGAAAGGAGCTTAAACATGGATCTGAGAGCTGTAAAGATGATGTAAAAAGACTTTGGTTGGCAAAGAAGAAGCTTGAATTTTTCTTATCCTGGATGCTGTCAAATAGTGACATATTGTCTTCGTTTGCAGCTGATCTAAGAACACTGCACTTGGATTTAGTGAGCAATATTGAAATCCATAAAGCTGAGAAGAAAAAAATCCAAGCAAAGTGGAAAGGAAATAAACCACCGTTGACAAAGAAACTTATTGAAGAATTGTAGACAGAAAATTAAAATACATGAAAATGTTAACGAAGGAGCAGACAATACCATAAATAACGCCCCATTCTTTTTCTTTTTGCAATGATACCAAGAATGTGATGTGAAATGCAAAAAAAAAAAATGTTACTTTTTGCAAAGCTATGTAAACAATACAACACGCTGTTAAGAAAAATGTGAATTGTTGCTTTGAAATTGGATAAATATATCATGGTAAAAAAGACTTAAATCTTAGGAAAAAATTCCATACTTTTTTTTAGTTTTAAGAACGAGACTTGCACGGTTTTGGGGGGAGAAATAAAAGAAAAAATACAAGAAATATTTTACTCTTAGTTTCTCGCGATACTAATAGATTAAACGTTTTGCGTATAATTTTCCCAGTCGCTGTTTTACTGAACAGTAGACATCTCGTGACACAAACCCTGTACAGAACGTATAGTTCGAAATGATATATGCACTGAGATAAAACGTGATTGTTTAAGATTGTTAAAAAGTCAAGGATAAAAACATCTGCAAACCTGTTTACCATGTTGGATTATTTACTGATAACATCCACAAACTGCCCATGCCCACCAAACTGTATAAAATTCCAATTTTTCCAGCCGCTCATTTTTGTTTTTCATTATTTTAAAATCAATATCCAGGCATTCACAGTAACGATGTATGGCGGGAACTGGTCATGTGATGTGTCCTAACAAACGTTTTCTTAAGCCCCGTTTACACTAGCGAGCGTTGCGGCGATTTTTGCGATTTCTTCGGCGATCCTGTCCATAATAAATAATATTAAAGAATTTACTTGTAAAGTTTTATTCAGGATACCATGATTTTCCTAGACGAATGTCTCTTGAAGAATGAGACAAAAGATTTTATATTTCCGAAAATTGCCACAAAAATCGCAGCAAAAATCGCCGCAAGAATCGCCAGTGTAAACGGGGCTTTACGCTAAACTTAGCATCACGAACGATAAATCTTTTCGCTTATGCTGTTTGATAGTTTTTAGGTGCACACCTGTGTTTCATGCCGTATGTTTTATTCATTATTAAATGCTGAATTCATCACTGCAAACTGGTGAATTCCCTGACTCATGGAAAGATGCTCTTTCGTACCCAACTTTGAAGCGGAATGGACTTGACACAGTTTTCATGAACTATCGCCCAATCAGCAACTTGCAGTTTGTATCAAAGCTTGCTGAACGAGCAGTGGCTGATCAACTGTATACTTACATGATTGAATATGGCTTGATACCTGATCTTCAATCAGCCTATCGACCAGGATACAGTACTGAAACTGCCTTACTTAAGGTTAAGAATGACCTACTAATGAACATGGATAAACAATGCGTAACCTTGTTGGTCCTACTTGACCTCAGTGCTGCCTTCGATACAGTAGACCACAACGTTCTACTTAACCGCCTCTCATTTGATTTTGGCATATCAGGGATGGCCTTAAGCTGGTTTGAGTCATATCTGTCAAACAGAAGTCAACGTGTCACCATTGAGGGTGTTGTTTCTGATTCGTTTGATCTGGAATACGGTGTTCCACAAGGCAGCTGCCTCGGTCCTCTGCTGTTTATATTGTATTCAAGCAAGCTATTCAGAATTATTGAAAGTCATCTGCCTCAAGCCCACGCATATGCGGATGAGGTTGGCTGTGAGTGCTATGGAAGCGTGTATTTCAGACATTAAACAATGGATGCTATCTGACAAACTGAAGCTGAATCCTGGTAAAACAGAATTCTTAGTGATCGGTACCCAACAACAGCTGGAGAAAGTGAACGTCACCAATCTACAAGTTGGAGAATCCAAGATTAACCAATCTTCTGTTGTAAAAAACCTGGGAGCCTGGTTTGACTCCCACTTGAATATGCATGAACAAATTAAGAAAACTTGTAGTTCATCGTTTTACCATCTATACAATATTAGAAGATTTAGGAAATACCTTTCATGTGGTTCTACCGAGACTTTGGTCCATGCTTTTATAGTGAGTAAACTTGATTACTGTAATAGTTTATTGTATGGGCTTCCTGATATTAATGTAAATAAGTTACAAAGAGTGCAAAATTCTGCTGCCAGGGTTATTGTAGGGCGCCTTCCTCGTTTTTGCCACATCACACCAGTTCTTTTTGATTTACACTGGTTACGTATTAGATATCGTATTCATTTTAAGATACTACTGTTAACATTTAAATGTTTACGTGGGCTAGCACCACAATATTTATCTGATTTGGTTTCAGTAAGGTTTCTAGGTATAACCTCCGGAATCATAAGGGCACTCTGCTAAATCCAGCTAGTGGGAAATGTAAAAAAACTTTAGGTGACAGGGCTTTTCAATCTGCGGCCCCTAAACTGTGGAACGCTCTTTCTGTTGAAATCAGGAATGAACTGTGTATCAGGAAATTTAAATCACTTGTTAAGACATACCTTTTTAAATTAGCTTTAATACTTAGAATTTTATGCATCTTTATTGCTATTTACTATATATTTTATTTTTTTTATATATTTCTATTATTATATACTATACTATATTATGTTATATCTATATTTCTTTTTATCCAATTTATTTAATTGAACGGCATAGTTAATTTCTGCACATATGAACATATCCATATGAAATATGCGCGTTATAAATATATTATTATTATTCTTTTATTATTCTTTTATTATTATTATTATTATTATTATTATTATTATTATTATTCGTTACGAAAGGAAAACCAGTAACTTTCTATTTTTTGTTTCTCTTCAGTTTCTCTTCAGTTCTTGGAAAACTTTTTCTCAAACTCATCAATAAGTCATAAGCTCAGCAACCAATGGAGGGGCACTTTTCAGATCACGTGAATGGGTTTTGAAACCTTATGAAAAACCATATTCATCACTAGTGTTTGAAAATTATCATCACTAGTGCTTGAAATATTTTCAAATCTCGTGCCGAAATATTTCTTAATCTACATATCTGTCGTGGATATCTCAAAATAGCTAGAAGAATTTCTCATCCACTTTCCACCCATTTGCCTCATTTCTTTACCTCTCTCCTCTCCATTACTTACTTCTTATACTTCTATCTACTATGATCTACTTACGTATTTATCTTTTTCATTTCTTTTTACCTTGGACTTACCATGTCTCGAACCTGGGACCCTTTGCGTGATAGCCTAGTGATTCACCAACTATGCTAACGAGGAATTTGCAGACAAAGTTGGGTTGGATCTATATTTTATTGATTTTTTCCCCATGCAACTGTTCTACGTATATTAAATAAAAACATCAAAACAAGGAAACTTCTTTCCCTGCATAATTTACAATAATAAATTATTATCTCATTAGAGAAGTAATTCCAAAAACTCGTGCTTCGTGTTTCATTAGGGTTTCCAAACACTCAAAAATAATAAAAGCACTCGGTCTACGGCCTAGTGCTTTCAAATGTTTTCTCGTGTTTGGAAACCCTAATGAAACACGAAGCACGAGTTTTTGAAATATTACATCAAACACTGCTGTTTCTAACGTTAAGACGCTTATTTGTTGCACACGAACGCGATTGCCTCGCGACCTACAAGCCTACTGGTTAGTCTGAAAGCTCTGTACACACTCGAGCTCGCTGTTTCAGGTCATGTCGTTTAAAGCAATATCCTTATTAGGCCGCTCCTGGATACACAGCAAACGATCTTCTGCCCGCATGTCTTGTTCTTCTGGCTGTACTCTTCTCATAAGTAAAGGACCAGCAAGGGCTATACCAGCAGCACCTACAGGAGCTGTCAGCAGGATTGATAGAACTGCCATGGTAATGATCTATAAATCATGAAAACAAAGACACTTGTCATTACTAATGATCGCAATTCTTATCAGTGCATGGTTCAAGAAGTTTAGTCTTTGACCCTTGTAGGCGAGAGGTCATTGATAACACCTCAGTTTAGTATAATTTTAGAATTGAATATAGAGTTTCTCATTCGAAATATTTTTTTCCGTCGTTTTGATTGGCCGAGATAACTGCAAATAACTAGACTGCAAGCATCCCACTTTACCCTCCAGACTCAGCAAAAACGAGTTTTTAGGATTCCTGCGGAGCCGAGTTGGGTAGAAGGTATTATAAGAGAGAACTTTCCCGTGCTTCCAAAACAGGAAAGGAACTTGACTCGACTGAGTTAGGAAGGAAAAGAGGGAATGTTAAGAGTCTGCAAATAAATGCCTACAAATAATGGTCTGCTCATGCGCATCATAGCGCAAAGCCGTTTTGCTGCAAATAATAATCTGCTCATGCGCAGTAATGTTGCATTTGTCAACATGCCTCACTTCCCTCCAAAAACATGAGTGAGAGGCACTAGCAAGAGAAGGACTTCTTATACAGTATAATAAACAAGCACTCAAGTTTGTATTAATCGAGACTTATACATTACCTGGATACCGTACTCCTCTTGTGGTTTGCCAGCATAACCTCGCTGCCGTGCTATATCGAGGGATAGGGATCCAATTGCAGCCTATAAAAAAAATGGAATTTATCCTTTAAGATGGCGATATTTGTTATGATATCCAGCAAAATCCTTCAAAACCTAACAGCTTTACACATTTTTAGTGTTTGTACTCTATTTCGACCAATCGATCTAAAATATATATCAGGGGGGACCAGTAGACATTTTTACTGCATTATGTAAGCTCTCGTCGTAAAGTTATTCTTTCTCATGACTACAGGTTATAAGCACGACTTACTTTAAACATTCAGGCAAGGGAACTAGGCATCCCTTTGCTCCGGTTCCCAAGTAGGTTATTTGCATTGCAAGAAAGCTTCTGGGACCCAAGATAAGAAACAAAAAGGAATGCGTTGTAAACGTCCATACCTGAACTGTTGCTTTGGGTAACCATGCAATAGCAACAAATGCCTTTTCCTTATTGGTCAGCTTATTTCCCGCCATTATAAGAAATGTAACGAGCATGCGCATTGTAATACAGATGACTAATGCACCAACACATTTACCTGCAAAAAACAAAACGCATAGCAAAGGTCTTTGCATCTCAAATTAATCAACAATATGCACAATTTCTTTGTCTGTCTGTTCGTCCACCTGTCCGACCGACTGACCAACTGACCGACCGACGGCCTGCCTGTCTGACTTCAGTTCAGGCTTATGCAAGGTTTAATCCATACTATCCGGCTCTACTGGTTCAGTGACAACAATTAATAGAGCTGGTTTATGTTTACAATTATTAGAATCGTGCCAACCATTATTTCCAAGTTCTTGCCAAGTTGCTTTGTTTCATAATCACAATAGTTTACATCACAACTAGCGCTATATGTCTCTATCACTAACTTTCCTAGCCCATGACCCACTCTTATGATTTCTTTCAAATTTTATACTTCAAAGGCATCCTTTGTCTAAGCCCTTGGCAATTCTTTTAGATCATAACAGTAAAAATTAACTCACCAACAAATCTTCCATCCAGGTAATCTAGAGATATTTCAGCCCCTATCAGACCAAACAATAATGGCTGGAAGAACTCCCATACTATAGACATGGCATTGTTTATGGGTGTCTGTCAAAGTATACAGAATAATGTGAAGAACTGAAATGGTGCATAGTAAACTACCACTCAAGAGGTTATATCATACACGATACTTAAAGCCTTTTAGAAGAACGGGAAGTGTCTTTAATGGGTACTCACGTCTTGTTCATGCCCTATCAATTCCATTATTCATCATTATCATCACTAATTATCACCATCATCATCATCATTACATATTACCACCATCATCAACACCATCATCACTATCATCACCATCACCGTACCATCAGGGGTAGATCCAGGAATTTGTTAGGGGGGTGTTTCAAATGAACAAATGTATATAGAGATATAATGCATTGCTTCGAAAAAGTGCAAGGGTCCGGTGAACTGCAGGACACCCCCCTGTATCCACCCTTGGCTATCACCACTACCACTATCATCAACATCATCACCATTGTCATCATATACATTATTCAGCAAGACAGCCTTTATCAAAATTGCCCTATTTCACTATGACATCACATCAAAACAATCTATTGCTTAAATGCAAAGGATCATAGTCATCGGAGGGGGTCAAATCAAAGCAAATTCACCGAAAATTGTTCTAAAACCTGTACCAATCCCCGAAGAGAATTAGAATAGCCAGCAAATGCTCAGAATATTTTTTTAATACATATTAACAGATATTATATCTGAAAACCAGGCCATTTTAGATTTAACTGTTTCGCTAGGAGCAAATTTTGTTGAATTTTCTATTGGGTTTGGCAATTCTATCCCCCCACATAAACAAGCAGTGACGTCATAGTGAAATAGGGCAATTAGTGAAGAATTTTTCCCATTTTTCCAATCCAGTTGAGCAAGAAGATAATTTTTAAGATGTGCAAAGTTGTACTCACCTTTTCTTCCTCTCCCCATTTGTAAGCAGCAATAAATGCCATTGTCAATACACCTAGTGCTCCTGCACCAGAAAATTGTGCAGCATTACAACCAAACAATGATAGTAATCCAAAGCCAGAAAGCAACACAAACCGAACTCTGGATCTATCAGTCTGAAACATATGAATGATGAAAATAGATCTATTTTATTTTATTTTATTTTCATTTTCTCTTCTCTTCTGTTCTCTTCTGTTCTCTTCTGTTCTGTTCTCTTCTCTTCTCTTCTCTTC